CGTATTTCTGGCACAGTGGGACCAATTGTTGTGACAGCGCTACGTGTGCCCTTTACTAACCCCAGAGAATATGGGAAAAACACCGTCAGCAGAGGCAGGAGGTACAAAAGGGATGGATGCTCATGCACTGACCAAAGTTTGCATGCACTCTTCCTCCCACCAAAGGCACTTGCAATTTCATGAAATCATGTTTTCCATCTTTCTTTCATGTGGTCCCAGGACAAACCTTCTGTTGGTTTTCCACAGAAGCAGAATCTGGGCTCCCTGGATATGTTCACCACCAAGTTTATGGATGAACAAGTGGGTCACGGCATGTAGTCACCCAGTGCTCATCACATCAATTACCTGGGAAGCTAAAGAAACAGTGCTAAATGCCAGCGTGGTGAGGTCCTGGGCTTTGCTTGCTCCATGTTCTGGGGTGTCTGGAAAATCTCAGACATGAACACAGCTCTCTGGCAGCCTGCGCTCTGTGGAGGTGGGCACAGCCCTGCTCGGGAGCCTTTCTGGAAGGAAAAGGCTGTCTGCTCTGGAGGTTGGACAGTCCAACCCGGCTCTGAGCTGCCCAGGGCCGTGTCCGGTCGGGTTTTGAGTATCTCCAAGGATGGAGACTGCACAAGCCTCTCTGGGCAACCTGCCACCCTCACAGTGAATCAGTTTTTTCTTACGTAATTTCTTGTTTGTGCCCGTTGCCTCTATTTCTTTCACTGGGCACCACTGAGAGGAGTCTGGCTCCATCATATTTACCCTCCCTGGCCCCATCAGGATTTTGTACACATGGATGAGAACCCCTCAAGCCTTCTCCAGACGGACCGCCCCAGCTCTCCCAGCCGTGACGGCTCCCACTGGTGAAGGACTGTGTGCTTCACCCTTCCTGCCGCTGCCCTCCCTGCATCCACACCTCTCCCTGCATCAGGGACGTGAAGCCACTTAGACAATTTTCTCAGACAATAAATGGAGGAATTTAGTCTACTGTATGAGAACATCGACTTGACGGAGGCATCTGGACTGCTGTTAGCAGAGCCACTTAACTTCACAAGGAATAAAAGAAAAGGGAAGTTCACGGCATCTGCTTTGCATGAAGTTCTTGGAAGTTCCTTTGTTTTCACATGCAGGTCCCACAGGCTGTTCAAAGCTAGGACAGAGAGCCCGGTTTTTTCTATAGTAAACAGAAGAGATGACTCAAAATGTGTTGTAAACCAGAAATGACTCTGAAGATCAACAAGCGATGATATTTTAGAGTTAAGATGGGGAACCTGAGCAAGATCAGCTTTGAAAACAAAAGATAAAACCAAACTCCATTATCAGGCATTTAGCCCGCAAGTTTGTAACAGGTATTGCACCAAGAGCTAATCAGATCCTATCTCAAAATACGTCTGAGATAACAAAAGTTAGACTTTGAGGCTACAGAATATCCTGGAAACAAGTTGGAAGGAAACGCAAATCCACAACAATTTTTTTCAATTATTGTCAGGATTGCCAATTATTTCTATTGTACAGACAAACTGAGATACCTGCTTGCTCCTGTTGTACAACAGTTCTGCCAGGGTACTGTTCTTCATGACTCTTGGAGGCTTTAACCAGTAAGAGAGTTCCCTTTCACTGGGTCTTAGTAAATCCCTTGGAGAAAACATTTCAGAACACACTTGATATTTTAGCTTAGCTGCTATATTGCACTAGTATCCAAATGGCAGCAATAATGGTGTTTTAATTCTTTTTTTTTTTTGTAATACTCCTATCTCCAGTCTTCTATTTTTTCTCTTGTAAACGAACAGGAAAAAAGGAAAAAAATCATAGTGACAAGAGGATACAGCCCTCTCCCGGGCTGTGCCAGCACTGCTTACAAAGCACGGGCCCAAGCCACCTGCTTCATGGCTTTGCAGAGCACGGTTATTCTGCTACCGTCTGTGGTCTGGTATTTGTTACTAAAAAAGGAGCCCCAAAATACCTTGTTTAAATTTGGCTACGTTTCAAAAACTTGATAATTTCTGGAATTTCCATTTAAGTTTCAAGGAGCAGTGCTGGAAAAATGTTTTACAGAGGCATATTCCATTTCCTTCCAGACAAAATCAAGTAAGTGCTGGAACTACTAAAAAGAGGCATTTTTCTTCTAGCAAAAGCTTAGTCTCTGTACCATTGGATCAATCTAACTTCATGCAAATAAGACACAAACACCTACAGAAAATCTTTCAGATTAAAGTAGAGCATTTTCCCCACCAGTGATTGTGTAACCGGAGAGGAATGGGAAAGTTGTTACCAATATCTTGACCTCTAAAATTTTCCATAGTAAAAGCTATTAATGTATCAGTTTTATTTTACGTATGTGTGTGTAACAACAAACCAATACCCAGTAGCAGGTAAAACTGATGGCAGGTAAAAGGAACTGTGGTAGAGATGAGGAAGGAGTCACCGGGAGGGGAGTTTTTTCTCGTTGTTCCTTCCCAGCAGCTTTAAATTACCAACGTTTCCTCCACACCCGGACTTTTCCCACAACAAACTATTTCATTGCTGTAAAACTGAGCGGGTGTCTTATGATGTGTAATACATACATAATATTGTACTCTTGTAACAGAAAATAGGCTTGGCTAGAAAGCTCTATCGATTTTACGTTAAAGTCAGCAAAAAGAAGGGAGGAGGACAGCGGGAAACTGCGGCCAAGGCCCCAAGGCCTAGGAAATAACGAAGGTGACGGGATTCCTGCGGAGCAGCACGGATGGGCGACTGAAGATGCCAGGGCTGGCCCCGGCCGAGAGCCGGCCGATAACCCCAGAGGCTGCCGCTCCTTGTTTAATCGGGAGCTCGCAGATCGCTGGCAGCGGCGGGGCAGGTTTTTCTCTCGCTGCTCTGCCAACAAGGGTGTCTCAACTCTGAAGGTTCCCCATCCCAAATGGCAGAGAGATGAATCCCCAAGTCTCCTCAGACCCCTCTGGGCGATGCCACCATTGGCAGATCCCAGCCAAATAGGAGATAGCCTTCCCCAGCCCTGCGAACAGCTCTACCGTAAAAAAATAAATCATCTCCAAGCACTCTTTTGCTCTGAGCGCTGTGCTGCAATGACCACCCCCCTCCCAGGCTTTTTCTGTTTTACCTAAAGAACACTCGGCTCCACGCTTTGCACTGAGGGAAACAAATACGGAGAGTAGAACCTTCTCCTAGATTAGACGAAGAGCTCATCTTGCTGAAGTATTTTGCCCTCACTGTGTTTAACACACGTGACTACTGCACTGATTTATAAATCCTCTTTGCCACCAAACAGATCGTAATAGCCCCTTTAGTCCTATAGGACAACTATAGGAAATAGTCCTATAAAAATCACAATTTGTCTTTGAGGAAACTAAATTAATTAAATTAAGAAAGATGGGACTTCATGTCTCATGAAATACACTCTCGGGTGATACATCCGTCGCTTTCAAGCTTTAGAAAAATCTTTTTACTTTCAGAAAAAAAACATCTGAAAAATTAGGGTCTACTTTCAGAGCTCATCCTAAACAATTACCTTATTTCTGGACTCTAGTCTAACCGTCGGGTTTGTGACATCCCAGTTACCCAGCGTGTCTAAACAAGGTTCCATCCCATTCTCCTCCGCTGACCTCCAGGGGAACGGGCCGCCCTGCTCCCACCACGCTCCCGCCGCGGGCCAGCCGGGGCCACCGCCGCTTGCTAGAAACGCAGCTGGCACCCATTTTGCAGCTACATAAAGCCAGTACAATTCTTGCTTTATTCATGCAGTGTTAGTATGAGCTGGCACGCTCCAAAACCAAATTAAAAAAGCAAGTTAATCTGAATCTTGACATGCCGGCCACTGAGGTCTAAATCACTTTCTCCAGAGATAGAACAAAGGCTTTGGTTTATTGGCTACACGTTTCTAGTAAAACATTTAAACTCCATTTGCAAACACTAGCTCTATCACGGTATCAGGAGAGTCAAAGCTGGCCGTGCAGTACAACAAGCCACTGCACTTCCAGTGCCGTACAGCACATTTTTTATTGTGTTGTGCAATACCTTCTTTAGGATGCTTTTTGGTATTTTGGAGCTGAGCCTCACGCGATGGTCAGGTTCGTAAAGCACCTGTGATGCTCCTGCGGGTGCATAACGGAGACTCTGAGCCAGCCGGCTCAGCAGCCGGTGTCGGCTGCCTCCTGTGGACTGCCCAGGCGTGGGTTCCACCATGGGTTCCACAGCCAAAAACTTCCTGAAGTGGCAACCCAAACCAGCTCAGGGTGTGATCAGTAAAATGCTGGCTCATCTCCAGATTAAAAATCGCTCAGTTTGCTCACAAAATCAGACAAGCAAGACTTAAGCCAAAGGATTCCTAGTGCAGCTCCATCACAGTATATTTCGCGGAATTAGCTATGTATACGTGTGCGTTGTACTAAAATGCTTATTAGACAGGTTCACCTAGAGGAACGCACACAGAAATAAAAGCCAAGCAATACAGTATCACAGTTAGCTTCTCAGCTCTTCCCTAATGACAGATCCATAGCTATTAGGGCCAGAATGGGCAATTACAATCATTTTGTCTAACCTTTCATTAAGGAATTAGGGAATCCCAGAAGAGGCTGAGATCAGCCACTGTTCAGAAAGATTTAGAACAATTTGGGGGGGGAGGGAAGCAAGAACTGGCTTGCAATCTGCAAAGCAGATACCTATGCTGCAGACGCTTGTAGGTTCACTTGTGTCCTCCAACCTCAAAATATAAACTAGTGCCTTCAAAGCAGACAGTATGGGTTTCTCTACATCACTGTCTAAAATAATTTGCGTGCTGTACAAGTGAAAAATGGCACTAACTTCAGAGACTCACCAGTTTGGCTACGCTGTACCAAGCTCAGAACGTTACAGCAGAATATTTCTTACTAAATACTGAAGTCAAGACTCAAGTTGCATAATACATTTTTTTTCCCATTGAATTTCTTGATTAAAGCAACAACCATCCACAAACACAACTGCTTCCTTATAGCCCGGCTGTGCTGCCCTGGACCAAACTTCAAAGGAATGATCAGGTTTCAGCGCTTCGCGCTGTGATACTCACCGAGATGCGACATCAGGACAGCGTCCTTGCCTTTGTCCAGCGCATTGTAGATCACAGCTGCTGTTGCACCCCTTCTGGCTGCCACCTTAATTTTTTCAGCAAAACTGCAGTTGCCTCTTTCAATGAGTGCTATCCACGGTGGTTCTGTGATGGTGAACTGGGTATTTGCGTCGCAGGCTTGAAGATTAGCAGATTTAGGAATGCCCACAAGCCCCCGAGCACTAAGCAGAGGAGAATTTAATCCATACAGGCCACATTCGCACTGCTCGGACACAGACCTGTTGCTCGTGCTGTTGAAATAGAGTAAGCTTACAGAGGCACTCACAGGAAATGCCTCTGTAGTCTTGAATAGAATCCTAACAACCACCTGGAGGCAGAAAAAACTGAACTTACCCACTTGCTTCATTGCTTATTCATATAAGCACAAAATGTAGATGCCTACAGATATTTTCGGCTGTTGGTGGTTGTTGTTAGCCCACAGCCTGCTGATGAGTTTGAAATTTCAGTTCCAGCAGGAACTTGACACCACCCAGGTAAGTCCTCGAGGTGTCAGTGAGCTTATCTAGAATGGGGGCTGGGACGGGACACTAGTGACACACCTGCCTGTTGTGAAATAGAGATGCAGACTGAAGGACCTGCAAGTAACCTTCGGCCCTAACTTCCTGCTCCTTTTTCACAAAGCATCATTCTCCCCTCCTTCTCTCCCATTACTGCACAAATTGTAGCTTTGATGATGCTTCCTAAGAGACTGGTCAAGCCCCCTGCTCCTATTTCAACCTAATGTCACTTCAGAGGACCAGGTCATCTTTCACTCAGTGATGTAAGCCTAGGGTTCTCACTTCACAATGACTTTGTTAAAAAGGTCAAAAGTGGAGGAAGGAAAATACTAAAAAAAAAATTACCCATCTTACAGACTAAGATAACCAAGTCATTCCCCGCATTTCTCCTTTTGGATTCTTTCAGTCATCTACTCTGTCAGGTCCAGCTTGTTCTGGTGTTTATAATGAACTGATTTTAACATTGATTTATACCAATGCAAGAGATGTAGAATGACCTAAACTGATCACAGAAGCGAACTACAAGAAGGACACTGAGGTGCTGGAGCGTGTCCAGAGAAGGGCAACGAAGCTGGTGAAGGGCCTGGAGAACAAGTCTGATGAGGAGTGGCTGAGGGAACTGGGGCTGTTTAGCCTGGAGAAGAGGAGGCTGAGGGGAGACCTCATCGCGCTCTACAACTACCTGAAAGGAGGGTGTAGCGAGGTGGGGGTCGGTCTCTTCTCCCAAGTAACCAGCGATAGGACGAGAGGAAATGGCCTCAAGTTGCGCCAAGGGAGGATTAGACTGGACATTAGGAAAAACTTCTTTACTGAAAGAGTGGTCAGGCCTTGGAACAGGCTGCCCAGGGAAGTGGTGGAGTCACCATCCCTGGAGGTATTTAAAAGACGTGTAGATGAGGCGCTTAGGGACATGGTTTAGTGGGCATGGTGGTGTTGGGTTAACGGTTAGACTTGATGATCTTAGAGGTCTTTTCCAACCTTAATGATTCTATGATTCTATGATTCTATACCTCCTTCAGCCCATTTTCACACTCTAGCTCACTTTCAAGATTTACAGAGATGTCTGAATGATTATCACACAACTTTCCATTTCTGGATGTAGGCTCTACAGATTCTTTCTCTGAATTCAGTCAGTGTTGTATTCCATAACAATTACTAGTATCAACTCTTGTTTTCTTATATTAGAACAGAAAAATGAAAACCTTACTAATGTCAGAACACTGTAGTCCGTAATGAAAATAAAGGACTATTTGTAAAGTCATCAAGACCTTTTTCCCGTTTTTCTGCAAAAGTCATGCTGCGCACAATGTTGAAAGCCAAGAGAAGCTGCAATTGGTGGCATATATTTTGACAGAAGCTCGACCTAGTTCTCCTGTAAAGATTCTTTAAAAGAGTAAATGTGATTGTGGAGAAGATTCCTGGAAAACTGGAACAGCTTTCAGAAGTGAAAAGAAAATGGAAAGAAATGGAAAGAAATAATCCAAGACGTTTACATATATTAATTCATTTATTTATATTATACAGTTTTCAGTGTGGCACTAGTTCTACACCACATTAATTAAAATCTGATCTTACCTCTAAGATCAATGACTTATCAAGTTTTATACACTCAAAAGTACCATTAGCTACATACAGTTTACCTTCATCAGCTTTTCTTTGAAATTAATGCTGGAAACATAAGAAACATGCAAATGTAAGATTTGAGAGTACAGTTCTTTGGGTATGAATTCTACAGCTGGGGAATGTGCTCTGATAGTATTTTACTCTCAGCAATGGCAATACACAGCAGCAAGAAAGACGTAGGAGTAAAGATTCTGTATCTTGGTTTAACATGGCAAAATTAACATGTTTTGACAGACTCAGGATCAAAAATACTTTGGTTTTATACTTGTGTTAATAAACACCAAGTGAAATAAAACAGCAAGTAGTTTCTTTGCAGAGAGGACCTTCGCCCCAGTGCTACAGTGCTGGTTTGGCAGGGAGGAGGGAGGCAGAGTGGTGGAACCATATATTAACACTGCAACACTTCAGAGATTGAAGTCAGCATATTAAGTTCAGTATAACTTACGGAGATGGGGTAAGTGCCTCTCCAGAATGACCCAGAGTATTGAAACTCCATGTCTACCTCAGGCATTGAATATTCTCTAGCTACACGCATGCCAATGTTAGAAGCCTGCGCTTCTAACGTTGGCATTTCATTCTGCAAGAGTAAATACCTCTCCTTCCCAGCTTTTGCCATGAAAAATTTCAAACAATATTCTGTAAAATAAAATTACATATCTTACAGTCTCATATTATTAAAGCGCATATTATACATACTCCACACCATTCTGATATTTCTTTTAGAGTTAGGAAGTCCTAACATGGAGGATGAAATGATTAATGCTACATGTTTAAAGTGTAGTAAGCAGCACAATGAGGCAAACAGCCTCCCTATTGCATGGGTGGATGGAGTAGCTACAACAACTGAATAGAGTGGCTCTGTGACAGTGTTAGCCACATCAGGTCTTTTGTACAAAGATAATTACTTTAAAAATTGCTTCTAAAAATAATGGTTTCATTAAAATTAGACTTCGACCTGAAGTATATCTAAATAAAAAATACTGGCTGACACAGTCAGCATGGCTCAGTTTGGTACACGAAGTGCTGGTGCTAATCTCTCTCACTCTAGAGCAATGGCCTCTAATCTTCACATACCCATAAGCAACAAAATTACACAAATAACATATTGCAAGCAACACTGTGCTCTTCTTGGGTTGGTATGTTTTCATTTTGCCTTCTGTGGCAAGGTTACAATGTACTCTGACAAACACTGCTCTAGAACTAACACTATATGATCCATACAAAATATAAACATAAAATACATAATCACATTTAATTAACTTTTAGTCCCTGTGCAATTTAAATTAAACTTTTCTCATTAATACATTTTTAAACTGTAAACCACACTAGAGAGACAGAATAATTTATCAATTTCTTTAGAATGTTGAAGGCTTTTACTTTTTATCTGAAGTTGCCTATGAACTTGTACTATAATAAAGACTGTTAGTTTCTCCTTCAATTACCATTAATTGAAGTTAGGGTACAGAATTTAAGTACTTGAAGACAAAGTCCACTGTCCCCAGGGCAGACAAGTGAGCTACTAGTTGAAAGAGATACTCCCCAATTACCAACAGGCTGCTAAAACGCGCCTAGAAGTTTTAGAAGTTTTCCACAAAAGAATAAATCTGTTCCTATAAATTAACTGGGTGGGCTTTGGTCAATAATGGTACAATTTAATTGGCAAGCTTCCATAATGCAATCATTTCGTCTCAAAGAATTGAACTGAGACCAGCATTTCACACAGACAAGTGAAAACAGCAATGTGTTTTAGCTCCTGCTTGAGAATCATTTCCTAAGGATCCAGTTGTATAAATGATTTGAGGCTGTTTGACATGGGAGGAAAAAGTGGGACTTGGTTCTGAACTCAGCAGGAGCCAGCTGCTACTTAGTGTACAGGCAAAAAGTTGACAGAATTTCAGAGTCTCTTGCTCTTGTGGAAGTAGCAGTTTCTCACAGCTGCTGAGCTCCTTCATGGACTCAGAACACAGCTCTTACTAAAAAGAAAGAGGGTAGTGGTGATCAACAGAAAAAAAACCTAACGGTGTGACAAACTGTATATCTTGCCATGCTAAACACTCCTTAAAGACAGTTTTTCTCTTGCAAAGCTAGAAGCAAGTTCCGCTAAAAAAGTTTCTTTTTAAAAATGTTTCTTTTTTTTTTAATTAATAAATAAAATATGTTAAAAACCTTTCAGTGCTACACTTACTACCCAACGCTATATATACAAAAGCAGACATATAAAAACACAGCAGTTGACCTTGCTCAGGCAAAAAGAACTGAAAGTGGCTTCTTGGACCACCGAGTCCAGTCCCCGGTACTAAAGGCACTATGGTATTTAATCCCTTTCACAAACAGTAAGCTTCAAGCCTAAAGAGCAGTTAGGCTGCCCCTAGTACCTCCCACTAAAAGATCACTATAGAACATAACAGTTCTAGTCCCAAAAATTATTGTAATTTCCAGCCTAAATTTATATCACAGCCAGCTAATTCTTTTGCAAACATTGCCTTTAATATTGAGAAAGCCTGCCTCTCTTCTCAGTTCTCAGCCCGATATATACATTTCCTGTGTATGTATGTGCACAGGCAGAGAAAGAGAGATGACAATCATACTCCTTGGTATCCTATCAAAAGATACACTCACTGTATTGCCTATTCATCCTTCTTGAACATAAGTGACCAAGACATTGTGTAATCTGTTTCAAGACTGCCAAAAATAAAGGCAACAATCATCCTTCTCAGTTACATGGATGACCATTACAACTGTTTGTGTCTGCTAGTTCTAGAAAAGTGCAATGTGTAGAGGGTGTATTCAAGTTACAGCAATTTTATTTCCCTCTTTTTGAACAATATAAATTTGAAAAATAAGTTATTAAATTACACTGGATCCAGCACACCAGGTTCCACTGTCTTGTAGATTTTGCTCAGAAAAACTTCCACCTTATCATCACCCAGGTGACAGATGTCCAAGATGCAGACAACATGTTTGCCGTCTAGATCCATTGCTGCTTTTACAATTTCATCTAGAAGTTAAGAAAAGGTGTTTTAATAAACATACAGTAAAAAGGTATACTGAATTGACATTGTTTTCGATGCAGTAATGCGTATATGTTCAATCTTTCAGTGAAAAACCTCACTCTAACTATTAAATGCTGGCCTACTGAGATTTTTTTTTGGTAGAATTTTATTAGTAAATTCAATCACTAGAAATGACAGCATCAGAACTTAGATACGGAAAAGCTGAAATATGCATTACTTAACCATTAGTGATTCTCAGATTTCATAGTATTATTCAAGGAAAAGTAAAGATGTATTTAAACAAAATCAGGTCTGTCTATATAAACACGCAGGAAAACACGATGCTTACATAGCACTTTGCAGTATGATACACATTAACAGTGTTCATCATATTTGTTGTGAGGTGCCAGTAATTAGAAGCATAATCTGAAAGAAAATAATTCAACAGCAGGCAAATACTTCAGTTTATAGGCACTGTAGGTTGTGTTAAAGCAGCTGTTCAAAGTGCCGTCAGTGAAATGGATTGACTGATTCACAGTTATTCCACTCTATTTCAAAGCAGATCAAGCCAAATATTCACATGCCCAGCCACACATAGTGACTTCTATGTCAGTACAATTTTGCATCAACAAATAACTGCAAATACTATGTAGGTTACTTAGGAGTTTGTGGTTTGGATATTAAAATACCATCTTCAGAGTATGAGAACAGCTCCAGTAAAAACTGCCTTGAAAGTTCAGTATTACATCTATTTACTAAAGGTGGTCACATAGAACTCACGTATCTTTCACTGAAGAGGTGAACAATGTCTGACCTACAACAGAGACTTCTACAAGGATTAACGTTTGCATTGAAAGATAAAACAAGAAACAATAAATGAGTAACAGCAGTGAAAGCCAGTCTCACTTGAAAGTGGAAACATGTCACGAAGTCTTCCATTGCTAGTAGCCTTCTGCTGACATGCAGAGATGCAACTCATACAAGACAATAATGCATCATTTTGAGTGTCTTCCGGTTGAAATAAGTGGGGATCTTCAGGACAAAACAGTGGAAGAAATGCAACATCTATTGCTACATCGTGGTTTATACCTGTTGGAAAAAAATACTTAAGTTAGCAGAAAACTTCACCTTCAGCCCATTAGCAACTTCACGCACCATTTCTTTCTTTTTAAAAAACAAACTATTGCAGGCTGAACACTGATTTTTATTTGTCCATTAATTAATAACTTTGTCCATTTGTCTTTGTCCATTAATTAATAACTGACATCTAAAAATACATTTCAATATATATATGTATGTATATTTATACATAAGCACATTCAAATTGATATGATGTTATAACATACTATGATCTAAGGCTAACAATGCTGTTAGCTCAGAAAACATTAAACCAACATTGGAAGCCATTTCACACTCATTTTTAACTTCATCGCTGCTACAAGGGCAGAGAAATTCATTTTACCATCAGTGTATCTATGCAGTATCTATGTATCTGTGTATGCAGTGCAGTACTTGTGCTACTTTCATCTTCAATACTGTATTGTAAGTCCCAGGATTCTAATGACTGTAAATATTCAAACACCTTCTCTGCAAATCTCCCTTAGCAAATAATGGAAACTTTTCAATTATAGGAACTTGACACGAACATCATTAAGCTAGGCAATTTCCTTCTCCTTTTAAGAAGGAGACAACACAGGAAAACAAAATCAAACAGATTAATATCCCACAGCAATGCTAACAAACAGATACACATCAACTTGCATATTTATATTTTAACAAATAAAGATCAATCAACTTTTATTTTATCAAATAAAGATCAATCAACTGACGCTTTGTGCTAACCAGAAGCAGCAGAGAGCAGTTGATAAGCATGGCTAAAATAAAGCCCTTAATTTTCTAGCACGGAAGAAAGACACTTTAGGAGCAACAGTACTCAAAAAACAACTCAATGAGAATAAAGTTCAAAAGAAGCATTTATAGTCGTCCTTTTCCCTTTAAGAACACTAACTTGTTTCTCAGGAATACCTCTCCAGCAGGGAAGTCAGCTGACAATCAAGTGCAATTGGATACTTCACCTGATTATGTCAGACTGGTTGAACTAGTGAACAGGACCTACTTCTAATTGTAATAATCCATAGCTTAAGGACTACACGCATTCTTCAAATGATACACATAAACCTATACACAAAATTGCAATTATATGAAAAGTGATACCAGAAAGAAGATATTCAGTAATCTTATTTAAAGGTATTTTTAATGAGAATTACAGCTTTCTGGTAAAAAACTATCCTAAATCATGACTCTTAACAAAAATCTAAAATGTCAACCATTTTTTTTTAACTTCAAGAAATACTCAGAATCAACTAATTAGAGAAATCCATTCAGTTTCTGATGAACCTTCAAATCATTCTCAAGTTAACGTAGCAAAGAGCTAGGATCTTATACTGCTCTTGCTTAATCTTTCTTAGAAGCCGAGCTACCAAATACTTACCCAGGACTGTCACTTCGTAATACCCAAGGCCACTAGCACTTTTAAACTCATTGATATTTTTATCTGTTCTGGTTTCTTTTGGCTGGTGCACTGCTGCATGAAGGTTATACTGTTGCATAAGCAAGTCTTTGTGCACATAATCAAATTTACGTGGGATGCTTTCTGGGAAAATTGTGCTGTGATGTAAATATTTCATTAATTTGTCTTTCACTTGTGCCCACAGGTCACTCTGCCATGAATCACCAGTTCTTCTAGTCTCTTCAGTTTCAGGTATATCACTCATTCCTTCTCGGTCTATTATAAACATAGAAAATACTTAGTTGCTTATATGCTCATAGAATCATATCACTTCTCTGCTAGATGAGAAATATTTTTGTTAGAACATTTCAATTATGAAGACATGGCAGAACGTTCAAAACATAGAACACAATGAATTAAACTACAGTTGGAAAGTGAGTCAACTGGTAATCTTTGAGGCTAGACTTGTAGTACGAGTCCACCACGTGAAAAGGATCATCGTGGCTTGTTTTTGGAAAGCACGTAACTTGTTTAATGAACAGCCAGAAACCATGAAAACAAGTTTAAAATGGGTACAAGTGAAGGTAAACTTTTCTGTCCCTTGCACAATAACTATATGCTTACATTGAGGACTATGCTACATTTAAAATTTCTTGCTATAAGTCAGTGATAGCTCCATTCTTCTTTCCTATTACATGTAACTTGAGGATTGTTAATAGTAAAAGCTTATATAACCATCACTTCCAATTTTGAAGGCAAGCGTTAAACCCCACCTTTTGAGCTTATCAGAAAGCTCATTTCAAAATATTCCCAGTATAGCCTTGTATCTCTTTCATCTCCTGTGAAACAACTTCTCATCAAGTAGCCTTCTGAACTGGGTATATTATCCACCTCAACATTTCTCTATGAACATATGCTTTTTTACTTTACTTCTTTTTAGTGCCATAATTGCTATGATGGAGTATCAGGATGTTTCAAAATTAAGAAACCAGAATGTACACAGACAAACTTGATACAACATATGCAAGAACATTCAACAAGGGAAATAAGAGTTTTGCTGCATGGAATTAGACAACAAAGGACAGTGAATTCAAAGAAAATTGACACTGAAATCGAAAGCGTGCTCTGGATTGCATAAAGCAGTCTGCAGTATTTTTCTCACAGAACTGGAATTCATCATATAAGGTAAAGGGGCACATGAAAGCTGCTACATGAAGAAACATTTTTTCTCACCATTTTACTTGGAGAATTACAGTATTCTCTACAAGCATGAAGACTTAATACTATACATTAGCAAATAAAGCACAAAAGTGAATATAAGTAGTGGGATTAAAAAAACCCCCTCTTTCTCTTTCTAAAGCTTCAATCATGACTTTACTTTTCTCCCTCAATGTATCATTGGTGCTGTAATTTGTGTGTCCTACTTGTACACTCATTATTAACTTAGCATAAACAGATGTGTAATTAGGACAGCACAGTAGAAACAGCCACCACTGGTTATTTAAACAATAAGATGCTGAAATCTTTAACAATCTGACCGCACTTCAGAAGAAAAATAAAGCAAATGTTTGAATGCCTCTAGCTACAGAGAGCCTCTTGGCAGCAAGAACTACTTTCTTCTTTAAACCAATCAAAAATATAAAAATGGCTATGGTGAACATTTAAACACATGATCTTCCATGAAAAGCAATTGAGATGAACCGTATTTTGAGTTCAGTTAGCAGAAGGATTTTTTTTTTTAAAATCTACTGTATAATTACAGTACACACATTTTTTTTCTTGTAAAAAATTAGAAGTTAATATGGCCTACACTGTTACTGTAAAGTTTCTTTCTTGCAAACACTTTTGTTAGTAAATCTGAGTCAGTGCATTTCTGCTTTACAGCTACGTTTCATGTTATCTTACAGCAAGACTGCAATGTTTTACTCCTTTGTACCTCCTGCAAAAAATAGCACCTAGAGTAAACGAAATTCCAGTGAGTGAAGCTTATTCCGATATTGCTCCTCCCTCAAGATATTTCAACATTTAAAAAATACACTTTAATAATTTATTTTGGTTTAGGTATCTCTTATTGGCTCTTTTTGTACATCTACCCAATGATTATTCAAAAAGGGTTACTTTGATGCAGGCTGCTGTGATATGTAGCTGCTGAGAGACAGAAGCGTCAGCACCGCTAATACATAGTTATAAAGGGAGAGGGGGGAAAAATTTCATGTTCACATAAGTAGCTTCTAAAGGCAGCTAAGGGCAGTTTCCCTTGCTGGTATTTAAAAAAAAAGTTCTACCTGGGACCATGGTAAGAACACTACAAAGCTTAGAGTAACACTTTTCCATTTTATATGGTACCTATGACCTGCATATCAGTAAATGGAAAAAATAAGTATATGATACACAAGTAATTGATATGCAATCTCAGAATACTGCAAAAAAAAGGTCCCTTCAAAATCTGAAGGAACACAGCATAGAAAAGTGTTCACTTTGAAACATACACCATAATTAGTAGGCTTGTTAAACAAAATATAAACATGCTGTTATTTAGATAAAACTAGCATCAGCTAAACAATTAGTATTTTATATAAAACTAATAATATTGCCAATAGGACTGATGTTATGTGAGAAAAATATGTGCATATGTTTAGTAGCCACATTTACTAACATATTCATATAATTACTGCACACTTACATTAGATGAGAGACTGATTAATTTATTTTGGACTACACTCAAAATCAGCCAACTGAAGTTAAATAGGGTTTCACGTGCCGTGAGGAAGTATCAGTATAAACGATATTTTAATTTAAGAGTAGAAGTATCTATCTGTATTTTAGATATAAATATCTAAATAAAAGTATCTAAATATAAGTATCTAATGCAAGATTTCTTTACTACAGTTAAAAAATGAGGCATGTATTTCACTGTACATCTTCACATTTTTTTTTTTTCTGAAAACCAACCTTTTAAACCAACTCATTGAAACCGCATACACGCATTCATTTTATGAGATCTACACGATATCCCAACAATTCTAGAGAGAGTAACAGCATAGCACAATAAACACTACAGCTACCAGAAATTCCTGCAAAAATAATTTCAGGTGAGAACACTCCACTTGATTACTCATTTTTAAAAGCAACAAGAAATTTCACCGAAGACTAACAACCAATAAAGTAATTAATTATCAAACTTGCTTACGGATATGTTTTCTTACTTTTGAAGAACAGATCTCTACATAGTACCCAAGGCTGCTCCTTCTCTGGAATAAAACTTCACTTTAAACAGTTACCTGTACAAATTTTCTCCAATTTGAAAGTTTCCTCATCATTTCAGTCTCTTAATATATTAAGCATTTGGGAAAATTCACTGTAATTTTTATTGCTTTAAAGCAGCACAATGGAGTAGATCACCATCAATAGCCTACAAAGAAAACCTATCGAGGTTTAATTACTAAATTAAGATGAACTGCTGCCTTGCAAAAATAAAAGGATGGACAACATTACACATCATATAGCTATACACAGAAGTAAATTGGCAGATGTTAATGTTGGGACACACGCTAGTAGCAGACGAACTTTTAGATAAAATTACATGACTCAAGAGTATATTCAGTCAGTTTTGAAAAGAGGAAAACATGTCAAAATATTTGCATGAAATAAAAAACAGACCAAGCTGCACATAATGACAACTGACAAATTAGACATCTTCCTTCATCCAAAAATAGATATCAAGAAACTAACTGCATGGAACACGAGTTTATTTTTCAATTGCAGAGGAAGAAAGAAAAAATTAATAATATTAACTTAGAAAAATCACTAAACCAAACATGATTCTTATTACTGGTTTGTATGTTTCATCCATTTCCTCCCACATCTTGTATTTGTCTTTTTAATTAGGTACTCACACAGCTTTGGGGCTACCTTCCCAGACAGGGACAATTTTATCACATGCAGATCACTATAGCAAGAAAACTGCCAACAGAAAATGTGAGGTCTTACACTACTAAGTGCTTCTGAGGTACAAAACTAACTTAAAACTTGTATAAAGCAACACTGAGAATTTACTCCCCGTTCTGGGAAAGAGCCCAACACTGTCCTTCCAGCCATCCTTTAGAACACATCAGGGACATGACTGAGCAAGAATGACATTAACAATACATTGCTACAGTGGCTCCCTAGAGGTTGATGCAGCCAGAGGTACGGAAGAGCTGTCTTGACAAACAAGGATTATATGGATATCTCTGTTGTCTGTTTTGGACCCAAAGAGAAGAAGTAGGCTTAAACCTCCTGAGGTTAATGTAACAACTACTTGCAACATACCTGTGCAGTACTGTAAACTGTCTGATACAGCCTGTCCATTTTTCTCTTGCACAAAATCTTCATGTTGAAATTCATCCAAGCTATAAAAAGAAAGTTATAATATATATATTTTTTCAAAACCTATTTAACCTCAAACACTATGCAGCAAAATTTCAAACCTTGACAGATTTCTAGTGAGAAATGATACAAGCTCGAATGAGTGAGCACCAGTACCTGGTTTCATATCACGAGACTTGTAATATAGCAGCTTGACATAAGGAGACCTACTGTGCTCAGTAAATCAGTTTTGAAGAGCTTAGGACAAGAACTGCTGTATTTCTTTGCTTTATGAAGTAGATAGGAAAGTATTTTACACTCAAAAAACAGTGTTTGTTGCCCTCTACCGGGCACCTACTGGAAATAGCATGTGTGACACTAAAAGCTGAACATCACAGATGGCCAACAGGTTTATGACTTGATTCTAAAAAACGGTTCCACAGCATGCTGCTGCACTTTCGTATCAGCACCCTTCAGTCAAAAACAAAGTATGAATGGAGCCGCATCATCATTCCAGAATCCAAAATGATAGAGAAATTCCAAATCTATATTTTCCTTTGGACACACTACCCTGTTGTAACAATCAGTTCAATCAAGCAAACTAGCTTTTTGTTATACTTTCATTATTAACCATGAAGTTTTGAATTAACGGTAAGCAGCCATTCTCTAACAATCTCTAATGAATTACCTAGGATATTATGCAGGAGAAAAATATAACAGATACTCTGCAGCCACAACATGGTAAAACAAGCTCTTAGGCCCATTTATTCCTCCCTTCTTTGCTCCATTCCTCTTTTTATAAACTCACCATGATGTCTGAATAAGCTTAGGGAAAAGACTACCTTGATTATCTTGCATCACAAACAACTGAGACATAGGCAAGACTTCGTTAAGGTACCATTAAAACTCCAGACTACCAAAGTAGTTACTAATAAAATATTGTAACTGCAAATACACAGGGACAATATAGAGACAGTGAAAAAGGAATCAAAGACAAACATGCTGTTTAGTGGGACATTCTGTATTTCAGTCATAAGGATTTACAGGGGTTTTTTTTCAATTTTTTCCATTTCGTAGTAGGATATATCTTGAAAATTTCATGTCAATGTTTCATAACAAATGGAAAAGATCTAAAATCTAGTGAAAAAATAAAAGCAAATACATTGTGGTTTTTGAGTATGAAAGTACATTTTATGAAATGCATTATCATCATGGTGTGGGCTAAGTACTGGAGTGACCTTCTTGTGATCTCCAACTCCACACATAAAAGAATCCTCACTTAAGCAGCACAAACTGTGCAACTGAGGTTTCAGCCACCTAATTCTGTAAACAGAAAAAGCTGCCACATAATACAGAACTTTAAAACAGCATGACCCTACTTGCTTCCCACCACCCACCCAAGCTTCTGAGCAGAGTTGTGTTGAAAATGTTGGTAGATAAAAATTTGTATGTGTTTCTACGTGACTTCGTAGCCCGAAGTATTTTTCAAATTTTGAGGTCCAGGACAATCTCAGAAAGATATATGCAAGATGTCAGATCTAAGTTTATGCAGTGGTATTTTTATGTTTTCTGATGAAAGGTAGCAGGAAAGTTTGATTCTTTCTAAAATGATAATTCAGTAATTACATTAAGCTTCCTATGGTATTATTTCTAGATAAAAGAATGTTTCCATGAAAATAGTATCTTATAAAGAATTAATTCCTTTTACAAGAACCATAATGGAAAGTAATTACTGTGTATCCATAAGAATAAATTAAACATTTACATACCAGTTATATTAATACATTTTCAAGCCATTAGAAGACATTTTCAAAAGTATTAACAAAAGTAGTCTAATTAAAAATTAATGCCCACAAAACTAATTCTCACTTTCGAGACTCCGACTTTCAACAAGGGATGAGAAAATCTAGCACAATGTTAGGAAAGGCTTGCTCAGAAATCAACATGTCAAGTTAGACACATGCCAACCTCCCTCTTCATTAAAGCAGAGAATTAAACCAAGTCATACTGCTGACAAGTTGATATTATGGAAATGGTTTATTTTTCTTTTAAAATTGTCTACATTTGGAGGTGAATAGGCTCTGATTTAGAGCTAGTAAAGTCTCTGAAAAATATGAAAATAACTTGTCACAGTTTTTCCCAACTTCTTTCACAGATCTGTAGCTGGGATGATTTCTCCTACCTGCCCGATATGTTATTCCTACAGAACTGCTTTGTGCTGGATGTGTGTACAGCGTAACTTGAGCTAGGGCCGTAAGGGAAACCTACTTGTCTATACACACAGTTTATATGCTTCTTTGCCAGCTGCTATGTCTGCAAGCCACCCGATATAACCCAAATCCTTCCATTTACTGCAATAGGCATGGCTATTGTACACCAAAACACCCACATTCCTATCATGCCCATGCCAGCTTCATGAGAACTTGTGCCATGCCAAATTTGCTATTCCCAGCCTGCATTCTGCAGACTCCCCTTTTCACAGATGCTCACTTGCAAAAAAGACTTTATTCAGTATTTCCAGATGCACTGGTATTCACCTTTTCAGTCATTTTACTTTAAATTATTGTCAAAGAAAACAACATTAATCAAAATAGATGGCAGATGAATACTTTTAGAAAATACTGGGAAAATAAGCATGCCTTGTGCTTCACACCTGTTTCCTAAGCACTGGGACTAAATGGCATAAAAAAAATTAAGAAAGAAAATAGTTAAAACTTGTAGCTACGCCCAAACGATGCAAGGGATTAAAGTGCCTCAAAACAAAAAAACAAAACACCCCACTCACTGATAACTGGTAAAAGCCTTATTTTATAGACTAGTTTGAAATCAACTTAACTCAACTGTCATGACACCATTAGGGTATACGGATCCACCACAGCAAGTAACAGAGAAAGCAGACAGCCTAATCTACAATAATTTGACAAGTCTACACAAATTGATTGTTGATATCTACCAATTTCTCCCTGAAAAATTCTGATTTATGTGAAAAAGGGGTCTGAAGGAAATGTCAAATTCTGGGAAACTTTGTCACGCAAACCTCAAGCTGAATTTCCCCATGTTATAGTATCCCCATCCCTCAGCTCTGATCAGAGGGGAGGGAAAAAGGAGAAAAGGGTCTAAGTTACATAAACATTTCGAAGTGAAACTGCAAGGATAGAAGCATACAAACAAGCTACTTCCAAGCAGTGTAGAGTATAAGCATGTAGTGCACCAGCAACTCCATGGTAACTGCAGTGCTAATCTTACAAAGATTAAAATGCTAAGAAAAATACTGTGGGTTTTTTCACTTCCACATAAAAATAAGCCTTTCTGAAATCCCTGTTCTTTCCCCATTCACAATAAACTATCAGTTAAACTACTTTGGGGTATATTAAATGCTTAAAAGTACATTTATGTTGAATGTCTCTACTAGCAAGGATATAAATATCAACAATACTAAATTAACTAGTTTCCTCTTACCTTGCTCTTTCTGAAGCCCTTAATAATCAGATCAATAAGTTACCTCAGAAATGTAGGAACTGAGGCTGTCAATAAAGAGCCTTAAAATAGCTTTTACTGTTTAAAAACAAAAAACCTTAAAAAATGCAACCACATGCTGAAAAACCGCACAAAATACTTGACACAAAATAACCTAAGCTAGAATACGTACTTCAAAATAATTCTCTACTGTTGTTATTTCATCAACGTATTAAAATATTTCAGTGAGAGCTGACATTCTGCTACTTCTAAGCAACAGAAAACAATGCAATTTTAAGGTATGTCAGGCTAACTTTCTATTTTTCTTCTGCAATTTGGAGAATTCAGCACAACTTCATAGTTAATTACAGAAATACACAAGTTACCTTTTAATTACATAGAGTGAAACAGCTTTCCATAATCCAACACAGACTTTCTCCTCCTTTAGTTGGGGTTCTAGCACTAATGGCACAGAGTGGACACACAGGTAGCGAGGAGAGTAGCAGATTGAGAAAAGCAGAGAACAAAGTAAACATGCCTTAACTTTTTGCTTCACTTTTAAGAAATGGGGAGAAAACATTCTTCCCACGCTCCACCCCCAAGAAAAAATGCAACATTTCTCAGCAAGCGAAAGAAAACAGGATTCCTCACATTCAAAAAAACCTCCTGATTTTCCTACGGATTCGTGCCACAAGTCCCTGCAACTCCTGCATCACCTGCAGAGATGTGACCTTAAAGCCAGGTGTCACACTTCTAAATGAATGGGCTGCAGATCCAGGCAACCATTTTCCCTAGAAAATACAGTATCTGCCAAGAGAACCAGAGGAAGCAACAGACATGTGGGCTCAAAAGAGCCTCGTTTATCTCACAGAAAAAGCTTCTGCAAATTAGCTCCCAAGAAATGCTTTTCAAGAAAACAGGCATGCTTGTAGGGCAGTAATACTGGCAGAATGGTCAACAAGTTATGATCAACTCCATTATTACTATTGTTGCTATATCCCTAGCACCATGATTCTTGGTTTTAGTGGGGAGGGAAGAGGTGCTACAAGTGAACCAAGAAGGCCACTGAGGGGCATACGTACTCATGACACAAGCCCAAATCACCGCTGCCCAAAAACCCAAACATCTGAAGTTACTGACACCAAAGAGTTCAAACATTCCGGTTATCCAAGCTGTGTTTGGAACAAATGATAAGAATTTACGGCCCTTAAACAAAATGCACGAAGGAAAGTAGCTTTTTACCCCAGACTAGCAAATAACAACACTCATTCAGTTTTCTTAGTAATTTCCCATTTGTAGTTATTTCACTAGGTTCCAGACTTGTCAGGGCTCTGGATTTGAAACTCCTACCTGGATTTTTTTTAAAAAATCCTTCTCTGGATCCAAGCAGAGTTCAATAAAGACTGAGTGTTAAGTAGCGGAAGGAGCCAAGTGGCTTCTCAGGGACAACTATACTTACACCTCTGTAGCACCAAGGATGATGTATAGCTCAACCATCACTAGCAAATCCATTAATGCTATTACATTGTTCACTCTGCTTGCTAATCAAGCATCCCTCCCTCCTACCTTTGACTTTCCTACTTAAACTGTAATCTCTCTGAAACTCAGACTACATATATTACTCTGCTTACCATGATGGACCCCTGTTACTATATATTTCCTAAGTAGCACTAATAACAATATAAAAATATGTTTAATAGCACACTCAAAATTATGTTTCAGAATAAAATAATCCAATATATTTGAATTAGAATCAGCACAGAGGAAGTGAATAGAAAATACTAAACTCTACCCTGATCTGTCTTCTCATTTCACCTCCATACAGATTCTTGACCTGTAAAAGTTTCACTTCAAATATCTTAGTTTCATCATTACAATTATTTAACATAATTAATTTCACATGACTTACCCCAATTTTCTTCTTGCAGACCGTGTGAAATAGGGGTAAGATGATACAGGAATAACAGATGCACTTCCCCTTGAAGTAGGAAATTCACCATTATTTTACAATATTTAGTTAAATGGAAATACACCAAGCAAAGAATGAACATGTTTTTCTTTTAGGCAGAACAAACCTAAGACACTCAATGTTGGAATTTTCCTTACGGAACGGAAATCCACTAACAAGTTTGCTGTAATACTGCCAAGACAGAACTTCTATTCACCAGGGTTTTCTTAGTCTTAAGTTTTCATTCAATCCTAATTATATTTCACCTCATTTTCCCTCAAAATATTCTGAACACCCACCCTCTTCCCACATTATAATTTTTGGATGTGAAAAGTTGAGAAGAAAAATATACCCTTTACAGCATGAGAAATCCACTACAAAAAAAAAAAAGACATGACTGGCTAGATTTTTGCAACATTAAATCTGTCAATGTATACACCAGGCTTTTAATACTAAGTATACGTACATTAGATTTTGCACAAACATTGCAACAAAAGGCAATCTTATACAAGCAGATATTTTACTCTTGAACCTAATACAGTTGTATCAGACAAATTATTTTGTCTTATTCCATTTCCTTGTATCAGACTGATATCCTTTGTCTATGTCTGACTAGATGCAACACAATATCATGAAATCCCATCACAAGCAGAGCCATAGTACTACAAGTTATTTCGAGCCTTTAGGTTAGCACATGACCACCATCTACTTGCCTTTCTGACAGCAAGTTACAGCTACATGCAGTACATTCCATTAACCAGAAAAAAAAAAAGGTACATTTGAAATTAAGGAACAGGTATACCAGATCTTGATTCTGCATTTTCAGTGAAGAAATCTTACTTCCTCACACCACTGTAACTGTTGCTTGTTCCATGACTATGTCACTAAACTATATATGGTTCAAGTATTAACTACTTTTATTTCAAATCTGTGAGATTAACAAAAAAGTAGCATAAATATTTACCAGAAGAGAGCATTGCAAACCAGACACCTGTTTTAATCAATCCTTCATCAGCCTGAACAGTATAATTGTCATCACCTGATGCTAGGAAAAGTACCTAACCACCTTTTAAAGATTAAACTATATATGCTATTAAAGTTTTTTATATATTTTCTATGTCCTGGGCTCTGAACTGATTTCCGTAAACGCTTTTTAGAAGATCCATTACATATTTATGAAGAGAGCTTACTGTTCTGCATCTGTATTTAATCTGCGTGGGATCTTTCTTTTGACTGAACTCTTTTTTGACAGTAGAGCTTGGTTCTGGTGGTGGTCCCCAGGAGTGCAATGTGGCCCCAGAAAAGACTTAACTTCTTTATTTTGAAGATTGGTGTTTTTCCCCTTGTGAACAGAGTCTTCTTTGGACATAGCAGAACTTTCAAGAGACTGAGAAGTATCTTTCTGCAACAACAGTTAATTGTTTCAGAGATTCAAAGCACTTAAAGCTATTGCTTCCAACTCAAAAACCTGCAAGTTTTAAAGTAACTTTTAAAAGAACAGTTTACCCTACCTTCTGAAAGTCACACCTAGCAGAAATTATCTTCTAATCATATTAATAAGATAAATTCTGTCTAGAAAATGACAGTGAGCATGTTGCAGTAGTTGCCTCTCCCACATTCTAATTTATATTAGGTTATCCAGTCAGTCAAACTAGTAACTTCTAAACAGTTACATAGTTCTACGGAGGACTGTCGTAACACTTTCAGAAAAGCATTGAATCGTTGCTTTTAAAAAGTTCTAAATTATGACTTTCAAAAATTTTGCTCTCAAAATAGCAAATGAAGTTAATCAAGAGACAATGTAACCAGGTTCTGAACTCAAATGCAAAATTCTCCATTCTAATTACAATCATAGCTGCTTAAGTGCTATAGCATTAATTCTCAAACACTGTACCTGAACAAGTTCCACTCCTGAGGCTTCTTCAGCTGCATTGCTACAGCTGATGTATCTTATGGCACTAATTATTCCCTGAACAGCAATGCGCTTGTGTTCTCTGTAATGCAAGTCTTCAATCTCATGGCTTTCAAAACCGATTCCACTGCAAAAAAAGAAATCTCCATAAACAAGTTTTAAAGAAATACAGTATCAAAATGCCTGAATGCAAGACTCAAAAGAAAAGATAATTTGTTATTAAATATTAAATTGCTTTAAAATTACATTTTTGAAGAATTTGAAATCTTTTTGTTGTTCACATCACATGGAAAAAAATTTAAACAATAAACCTTTTTAGCTCACAAGCATCTTTCAGTATGCATTATCAGATATCTCAATTTCTGTTTCAGGTGAAATTTCTAATTCACTGTATTCGTCAGTATAACTGTCTTTAATTCTGATTTAGTAGAATTCAGAGTAAAACTTCTGGGCAGATCTGTAGCTCATGTAAGCTGCTACAGCTCTCCTGCAGCTAATGGTGCCATGATACTTTCTGTAAGATGAGGATTTAGCCTATGATACATTTAGTCATGAAAGGGAGTTTTTCTTAAATGACATTACAAATTTGTGTAATCACTAATAGTAACTGTGTTGCTTTTTAATTGACACTTTAAATGCTTGGAGTAAGACTGAACTGAAAAAGGCTACAAATCTTAAAGATATTTGACGGTATGATACCTTTATTGTTTTTACAGTATTTCAAAAAGTTATTCGGAGGTCGTGGAAAAGGATAATAGCCACCAATGACAGTTTTCTTCATTTGATCAGCTTCGCTTTGTGTTTTAGTCCACTGAATGAAGTTTTTCACTTTGGTATCCTTGGTGTATGGCTGGCCCTTGTGCCACCCTTTTAAAACAAAAATAATCAGGTATCAAAACCAAAGCAGGTTACTGTCATCTGTTCTCATCTTGAAACTATCCTGAACGCTTCATAGAAAAAACGAATTAAGAAAAACCTGGCTAGAGAATACAAAAGACACCTTTCCACCAGTCAACAGTGTTTTAAGAAATTAGTATCTTGAATTCCTTGACTAACACTTGCATTTGACACTGAAAGTTAGACAAATGTTAAGTAATAGAAAGAAATAAAATGACTAGCAGAAATGCTACTAGAATACTTTCTCACAGGAGCATACAAAGCAGTAAAATGATCAGAAATGGTTTTATTAGCAGGAAAGAGCACATAAGTCATCTTCACAGGGTTCAGCAAAGATTGTTACTGACAGGTAATCAGCAAGGTATGTATTCATTGTTGGCTGGTTTAAAACCAAGATATAGACTAAATACCAGAAAAGACACCTTTCCACCAGTCAACAGTGTTTTTAGAAAGAAATAAAATGACTAGCAGAAATGCTACTAGAATACTTTCTCACAGGAGCATACAAAGCAGTAAAATGATCAGAAATGGTTTTATTAGCAGGAAAGAGCACATAAGTCATCTTCACAGGGTTCAGCAAAGATTGTTACTGACAGGTAATCAGCAAGGTATGTATTCATTGTTGGCTGGTTTAAAACCAAGATATAGACTAAATACCAGTTTTATCAAATAAATTGTACCACGCCTAAGCTGTGAACTGAAATAGATCTTATCCAATAGTTTGCTATCTCCAGCTGTAGTTCTCATTTCCAACCCAGACAGACATACAATGAACTAAAGCTAGGGTGGGGAAAAGCCTAAGTACTTAATTAGAAAATTAAGCACAAAAATACACTGAAAGAAAGCAAAGGAAAAAAACAATCTCTCAAACCCTTCATTTAGAAGTAAATTAAATCATTAGAAACCTATTAACAATAAGACTAGCTTGCTTTGGTAGTCCAATTAAGTACAAAACACGCTACCCAGCTTGCCAGGAAAGACCACGTGTATAGAACTGACTATGTTCAGGTACCTTTTTAGCACATATTTTTCTCTATTCCTGCTTGTCAGCAGAAAGATTCAGACTGGGTGACTGATATGTTAGGAAGAAATGAGCTGAATAAACAAAACAGGAAAGATACACCTATTGCATCTTATACTCCCTTGCAATTAGGCCAGTACATCACTTGCCTGCAACACTGCCATAATCTGCCTCCTGATTCAAGAGCAAATATATTATAAACGGCTGTGCCTGGTCCTGCCTGTGACATGCTGACGGGTGGTATCTAGTGTACAGTATCACAGGGCCATAAAGAGTATTGTAACTGCAGACAGGAGTATTCAAACAAGACTATCTAGAAGGAACGCTCCTTCAGTGCAGCCCAGCACCACATCCCTTCCCAGACCACACGGTCTGCATAAGGCCCTGCACATTGGGAAAAATGAAACATAACAGCTCTCCAAATATTTGGTGAAAAAGATTAGCGAAGATAAATTTAGGACAACTATACCCATTTTTTTTCCTCTAATAAGGAAATCTGTAAGCCAGAAAAGCTGCAAGTGATTTTTTATGTTTTTAAGGAAGTGGTAATCTGCATTGCTATACTATCAAAGGATTAAAACGGTCTGAAAGAATTAGTAAACATATGACTTAACCTAATAATACTTACGTACTTTTCATAAGATACACCCATTAATCCCTCACAAGAATGCAATTTGCCTTTTTTCTTTTTGCAATGGTATTTTATTATTAACTCAAAGTAATTTCTGGCAGGGAAACTAATACTATGCCCTGATTATTTTGTTGTAAAAATCAAATACCCTTTCCAAAGAAATAAGATGAGAACTACATAAAACTAAAACTAGTTTAAGTCACCTGTAATGAATATTTGACTTTCATTGGAAGTCGTAAGGTAAATTGTGCTGGAAGGATTCTCAGTGAAGTCCCGTACCACTCTCATCTGTGTACACACCAAGTATGTCACTGGAGAAAAAAATAAAACCTTCAGTTTTTTTCCTGATATTTCATTGATTTTAGAATGTCAAGACTGACACACACTGGATTTTATTAAGTGCTCTAAACAAGACATTTTAGTTCTTGACCCTACAAATGCTTCAGCATGTGTTGAGCCTCTGATATAAATTACCATATGGAGATATAACTAAATTTTCAATTTAATAACTGTGCAGGGAAATTTCAGCATACGTATTAGTACTAAAGCATGAGATACTTCATCAGGTAGGATATCAATGAAACAAATAGTAAAAATATGGTATTAGATAGCTGTGTTTCTTAAGGATAAAAAGCATAAGATCATGGAAAGCACAAGAAATCATGACATGCCACTGCAAAACTTCTAAATAGAGTACAAACTCACTCTTTTGTTAATATTTTAGTTAAACACTGGAATGTCATTCTTTGCCATCTCCCCAGAACACTCAAAATGAATGCAGCCATAATCCTAACAGGGTTGTGCAGCTGGTCCTGCATCATATGATATTAAAAAATGCACGTGACACCAACCAATGTTAATGGAAGGATGAGGGCTTGGAGAAGAAGAGAAAGAAGACAAGAAGAAATATTTAAAGCTCTTTTAAAATCCTTAATTAAGGATTCTCCAGTTTGAAATTTATCATTCTTAGCTCACATGCAATAACTAACACAGCTGGGTGATGATCGCTATTTGGCCAAACAATATTTATTCAAAGAAATGAAGCTTTTCTACTTTCACCTCTCCCTTCCTCCAATTCTCTTAAATTATTCCTGTCTATAAAAAAAATACTTATTTACAGGACAAAGGGAGTAATAGATTTGACCAGCTGCCTTCTTTATTTGCCTCTGATGCAAGAATGTTGCCCCAGGTGCTTCACTGAAGTTTCTGTTGAAATTAATGAGATCAGATGAGCCCCAGGCCCAGCTGCCCACCTCTGTGTTTAGACTAACTGGCAGATTGCAATATGATAAGGGTTTCAAATACTTAAACTATTTTTTTTTTATTTTTAAATTTTAACTTCTGATCAGCTATTTTCTGTTTGAGGAGATAAACGATGGCAACGTTTTATTCAGTGGCAATTATACTCAGAATTTGAAATTAGCAACCAACTAGAAAAACACTATCGATAATTACTAATAAGTATTATAGAGAGATGAATACTTGGGTGAATATGCTCGAACACATCTGGCTGAGAAGTTGCAAATATTTCCAGTATGAATGGTTGGTCTGAGGTCCCATCAATGGCATGTGCCCAACGATAGAGCCAGAAGTCTTCACCATGTTCTATACAAATAAATATTAAGAAAAATGTATAAGCATTTATTCAGAAAGTTAAAAATTGTTTGATAAATTCTGAAAGTCATATTTATAGAAAAACCTCTCTTTCTTGCTCGTTCAGCCCTTCCTACAAATGTCACAAGACCAATAACATCACAGGAATGATTGTTTGGCAAGCCATCCAGTTCTGACCTAAAACCAAAACAGAACAAAAATGTGGGTATTTCTTAATAACAGAACACAAAGCTTTCTCAGAAACTTTTCAAAAAACATTTCCAACTAACATTCAGTGTAATGTAGAGAAATTTAAGTTCTAGCTTGACAACCAATAAAATTCTATTTTACCTTGTGATAAACCGATATTTAACTTCAGGTAATCCCCACTCTGGCTTAACCATTTCTTCTGGAATAATACTTATTTTAGTAGGAGGGTCTCGAACATTAAGGCTGATTTCTGACAAAGGAAAAAAAAAAAGTCAGTAACATTTAAGGCATGAATACAAATAAAAAAAAAAACCAAACTTAAACCCCACAAAAAACCCAGGGTCAAGTTTCTTAAATGAAGTATTCCAACTTTGTCTCACTGCTTGTGAAATTATTAATCAATTCTTCTGACTTTATGTTTTAATCAAAATAAAGTAAGGAATTCAGGTACAGCATTGAACAACGCAATTTTATGATCTGAGCAATGTTAAACTTTCCAATTCCCTACAATTAGTCTGATCCAGGCAGATATTTTAAAAACCAGCAACAAAAACTAATACTACAATACTGATTAGATACAAAGTACTTTTTACGCTAGCTTCATTCTCAAATGTCACTAAGATCTAAAACTGACTTGCAGACAATGAAGTAAAACAGAAAACAAAACTATCAGATTTCATACTTCCACATTTGATACCAGTTCAGGTAGTTATTACTATGACAGAAATACACCACAGCCATGGAGGAAAACAGAAAAGTCTTCTCATATCTATAGCACCTGAAAAATTTAATTTATTAAGCAGACTGTTCAGATGCTGAATAACATGGTGGAGCACTGGGGGAAGCAGGGGGTTATGCAACCAGATAAAAAATACAGGAGGAAGGGCTTCAGCATCTAGAATACACAAGGTGGTACTCTGTTGTCTCTCTCATAACAAGACGAATCTTGCTGGTATGAAAAAGACAGATTCTAATGAAGTTTCTACAAGATGCTTGGGTTTAGGTAAGGGATTATTAAAATAATGCACCCAGAAAATTAAATAGGTATAAATAATTTATACAATTGTTTATATAACTATGTAGAGCCCCTCACCTTAGCGGTGCAACATTAGGAAGGTGTTATACTTGAAATCAGACCCTTTCTTTTGGCTGTTGCTTTCTAGAAACGTATTTGGAGGACAATCGTGGTTTTGCATATGGTGTTTTAGGACAGTATCTCAGAGAAAATTCCTGAAAACAAAACTTACCCATGCATCAAAACTATTTATCAATTGTTTCGTCATGTTGAGATAAGATGACAGCCATATACTCAACTCAGGACTATACCCTGGGATGATTCAGAAGCTAAGGTCAGTCCAGGCTATTTGAAACAGCAGTTTTCATCAGTACCACATAAATTCAGTGATCCATGAAATGCACACATTGCCTAGCACTGGAATTCAAGGTGTTGGTACTAACTATTTAAGCTCCAAAGGTTTTAGGTGCTGAAACAGCACCTGTCAGCATGTCACACAATACTGCAGCTGCAAACAGAAGCAAGCAATGCAAAACTCACTTCACAGAAACCTAAGAATATGCCAGAAGCATACTGTCTTGCAAGAACTCATAATCTGGAAACCCCTTTCCCTTGTGGCCTTGTTAACCCTCCAGATACATTTTCCAACATTTACAGGTGAATGGTTGTAAGAAACACTGGAAAGCTGGGATTTGATGGAATTACAAATTGGAAATATATGATGAAAAAAGTAATTGTTACTTAAGCAATTGTGTAATTGATTGCTTTAACTAACTAGCTGAAGAACTTTTGGAGCACTCATTGTGCATGCTTAAAAAAAAATGAAATACTGCCCCACACAGAGATATTTATATTAATGGAGTAATTAGTGAGGTATTAAATTTCACTTCATCTGAACAAAAAAACCCCATGCACCAGGAGTTGTATAAAATTGATTTTACAACTGCTCTAGAAATTTTTCTGGATATTCTGTTCCCTTTAGACTCTCTTCTTACAGGATATATAGGCAAAAGATCCATCAATGCATGGTAGTATGTGCTTTTTAAGTTCATATTAAGACAAAATTCTTAGCTTTGTGCTGAGAAAAGAAGTTACTGTACATACATTGATATGAACCGAAGAGTAGTAATTTGTACAGTTTATCCCCGGTCTGAAAATACACCATGGCACTTTACTATAGACTGACTTTTAATTCTTTCATTACACATCTATTACCATTTACAGCCCATTGGCCTAATTTTCCATTTTGATCTCTTTGTTAACATTTCTACCCCAATAATGCTTGCAGAAATCAGTAGTGTAGTGTGAAGGAACCCATTAAAATGAAGTGATATTTGCCCACAAAGAAAGTCTCCTCAGACGGCATATTTTATTCTGTCCTTTTCCCGTAGAAAGGTTTTGTGGCAATTATAATTGTTTTCAGGGCTGGCTTGTAATCATCATCAGCTTCCTTCACAAACTTCCATTCCTGGCTAAACATTTCTCTCTCCTGCCAAATCATCACAAACACGTCAGACATTAAGATCTGGTTTTAAGGCAAAGATACATTAGGCAGAGAATACGCTGCTTCTGGCAGTGAAAATATTGTTTATTTTTGTGCACTGTAGCAACTGCATTAGAAAACTGTCATCGTTAATAAGTTATACATACATCACCCTTCACTAACTCACATATTTGCTTGTTTCAAGGAAGTTATTTGAATTTTCTGAATGTTGGCTGTCGTTTTGTTCTGAGTATAAAAGCACAAAAGGGGAAAGAACTCATGTTCAGTGAAGTAGGAGAGAAAAAATATGTTGACCAAATCCAGTTTGAAAAGGCTGTTATTGTTATATTGCAGCACTTGTACTCCTGTAGCATAGCTCCTCTGAATATCTGTCATACTAAACAACTGCAAGTAAGAAAATACTTTCTTACAGCCAAGGAATATTCTTCATATATGCACTCCCACAGTGCTGCTATTTCAGCACAGACAGGGGACATCAATGCAACTTTTTATTCAGTGGAGCTTTGCAGATACTCTGGGCTTTGACCATATACAGTAAAATCTAAAGTCAGATCAGGTGACAATGTGCTCCAATGACCTGGAAGAAGGTGTGAGCAGTGCACAAACGATAACTGTATTATTAATCAGGAAGTAGAATCAGACTAAAATTCAGGACCAGAGGCCTGTCTTTATGACCCCAATACCTGAAATCAGGGATTCGATTTTTATTTATTTATTTTTTAAATAAAGGTTTTAACTAATGGTGGCAATAAACTTTGTAGACATGATCCAAATATAAACAGGGAACAATAAGAACTTGGATGCTAAGACACCTTTCAGAGATAATATTTAAGGATATATACCTTACCAATTAGTCTCAGCAATGGATCACTTTCTATTTTATTTCTATGAAGAGCTACCTTTTTACAGCTATATTTCATTGAATCAAAACAGATTTCTGCAATACTTAACCAATCGTAGCAAATCTCTTCATCTGTGAATCCCCTGGGGTTGGCTGTGTTTTAAATGGATAACTGGTTTTGATAGCATACTGTTCAAGAAGAAGTACCGTGCCAACCTTCATACTGTTATACCATTCAGGACATAATGAATTCCACAAGACCATTGACATCATGCCTGAACCATCAGCAACTTCAAAGTAAGCCTAAAGAAAAAAAAGAGACAAAATACATTCATCTTTTATTTACCATCATTCTGGTATGTATTTATTTTGGATAATGCATCAGCTACTTAACTATGAACAATTTCTCTGATGATTACAAATGGATACAGAGTATGTTCCAAAACTTGTACTGAATACTAGAGTTGAAGAAGTCCCTAATTTCCACAAAAGAATTCTTCCACAACTACCCCAGCCCAAATTCTTATCTTTCCAGTGCTCAGTAACAGTAGGTGACGTCAGTCTCACTCTGTGGTTTTTGGAGGAGGTTGGGGAAATACCATGCACACGAAACAATACTGAAAAGATTCTTCTTTGCCAGAGAGAGTGCTGTATTTAGAGTAACATTCCAAAATATCCATGAAGAAAAAACAAATTTGGAAGTTGAGATGTTACAAGACCATTTGGTAAACATTCTTGATCAAAACATGATACAAGTCTGATTCTTAAGCAAAAAACAAAAAATGCAGAAAACAATCTGCACTGCAAACCACTATCTTTTCATTGAAATTTTTCTCACGACAAAGATTTCTACACAATTTTTTTTTAAACTGGGAGAACTTTGAATCCATAACTGAGCAGATCACTGAGCAGTGAAAAAGATTTTTAAACAGTCTTACAATGGTCTTAAAAGGTAGCAATCCACCGAAAAAAAATCTCAGCTCTATCAAAATGCTTCATTTTATCCATTCATCTGTCAGCCTCAAACAGTCATCTGCTTTTGTTCCTACTACCATCCACTCTTCAATATATCACCATTCTTGAACATACCTAACACCGTATGTTTTTTCCCCCTTGCTGCTTCTAAAATCCTCTTTTCCTTATTCCAAGTTCAATACAGAGATTATACAAATCAACACTCGTTAGTTCGTTCTAATAGTCCTAATTAGTCATGAACCGTGCATCCTTGAAAGTAAACCATTGTATCACAGAATCTTTTGTTACCCCATTGTTTTTTATCTAATAACAGTAATTCAACACACAACATTATCTAAAGAAGGAATGCATAGAGCAAAAACCATGTAAAATCTGTCTCCTAACTTCTTGAGCTACATCAGCTCTGGGTACTGATTCTACAGCTAATACCAGGAAATGTGACTGATGAACTGCCATGAAAGTTAGGAGTATTATCTAGACTGTCTACTGAGAAGCACCTCCAATAAAAAGACCCAGATTTATCTTCATGTGCAAAGGGAATGGAAACTTGGAATAAGAGAACACCACAGCCTTTCATTAAGACGTTTCATACCTCTCTCTCCCCATGGAAGAATTCATATGAGTTATTGGAGCTCTTTGTAAAGCGTTGCCCTCTTGTATGGGGTCTGGCTGGGATGGAGTTTATTTTCTTTGTACCAGCCTGCATGGTGCCGCATTTTAGATCTGTGACTAAAATAGTGTTGATAACACGCCAATGTTTTAGCTGTTGCTGAACAGTCCTGCACAGTGTCAAGGTTCTTTCTCTGTTTCTCACTCTGCCACCCCAGTGAGTAAGCTAGGGATGGGCAAGAGGCTGGGAGGGGACACAGCCGACCTGAACTGACCTAGGGGATATTCCATGCCATGTAACATCATGCTCAGATGTAAAACGGGCTGCTTGTCTTCCCAAAGCACCCATTGTTCAGAGACTGGCTGGGCATTGGTCTGCTGGTGACAGGTGGTGAGCAATTGCCTTTGCACCACTTGCTTGCCTTTTTTTCCTCCCCCTTTCCCTTTTCCCCTTCACCTTATTAAACTGTCTTTATCTCAACCCATGTTTTTTTCCTCGCTTTTGCTCTTCCAATTCTCTCCCCCACTCCTCTGGAGGGGGCAGTGGAGAGCAAAGGACCAGCTGGTGAGTGCTTAGTTGCTGGCTGGGACCAACCCACCACACCTCCTGTTTCCATTTCGAAGAAGCTCTACACAAAAATATCACAAGTAAAACATATTAGGAAAATCATTACGAATTTTATAGTAAAACAACCTATCTGGAAGTCACCAGGGGAGAGAATTAGGGGATACAAATTGTTAAAACTTGTTTGCTTTTTTTTTTTCTTGACAAGACAGACTAACCCCAACTTCCAAAGCGTATAGACCAGAAATGTTTAGGTTGTTAAGCTACTAAAAAATCCAAATATTTTTTTTTTCTTCACAGAAAGCTCAACTGAACTATAGTAACTGAAACACATCCACCAAAGTTTGCACATACGATCACTAAATTCCATTTCCTACTCTAAAGGGCCCAGCATTTTTGTAAAGGTAGCATTTTTAATATAAAGTAGCTACAACATAAATCTTAACTTTATGTGCTTACTATATGGGAATAATGATTTCCATACATCCTACAGCTATTTGTTAGAGTGTTAACCTATGTATTTATTCCTCTTTACCTGATAAGGCATATCCAGTCTTTTCTCTGGTTTCCCGTAGTACCTTAGTCTAGATTTGTGCAGGACTCTCACAAGAAGTGGATGGAAGTGAACTCTGCTTCTCCAGGTCATTTCCAGCTGACCAAGAGAAGTCACCTTGGAGACTAAGGTTAAAGAAGAAAAAAAAAAAGACCAAAAAAGAGCATTCATGATTGAAAATTTAAGTTTTCAGGAGTAAAGTGCACAGACCAGGACGTCATATGTATTTTCTTAATGTTTCTAACACTTAAAAAGGCTCATTTGCTGATACTATTCACCACGAAATCCTGTTCTGAGCTATCTGCACACAGCACAGTTTTGTTTTGGTTTTTTGGTTTTGTTTTTTAATTAAAAAAGAGAGTGATGACACATGTAAAATGACACAGCAGTGGTGTCAGACGAGCAGAAGAGCTACTACAAAAGACATAGGTGTTAGCCTACAAGGGCATCACACTTGTGCCGAAGTCCCGCTTATACCTCCCTCCTCACGAGGCTTCCTGGACTGGCCTGAGCCCCTCAGCACTGACCGCATTTTGGGTGGCAGCTTCTAGGTGCGAGCACCCAGTCCCACGGACTAGCCAGGAGACTACTACTGAGACAGATGTTTTTGACCCCTCAGAAGACTGGGTGCAAGCACCACAGCTACCTATTTTCAGTCAACGTTTCGTAAAGTTTAAAAAACCCTCTCAAAGTAACACGAACATGTAAACTGCGGTATGTACGGCACATTCGTATCGGTGCCTAACGCCACCGGAGGGTCACTTCTGACCAGGGGGCTCGGCCCAGCTGCACAAGCAACGCCAGCAACCGCGCTTCTCATCCCTACGGGCGCCTGCGGACGGCTTCAGCAGCGCAGGCCTCCCTAGGGCGCTCGGCTGCCTCCGGGCCGATTTCCACCTACAT